TCTTTTTTTTTAAATACCACAAATGAGTGAAATCATATGGTATTTGTGTTTCTCTGATTGACTTATTTCAGTTAGCATTATATCCTCTAGGTTTATCCATACTGTTGCAAACAGCAAGATTTCATTCTTTCTTATAAATGAATAATAATACTCCAGTGTGTGTGTGTGTGTGTGTGTGTGTGTGTGTGTGTGTGTGTGTATCACATCTTTATTCATCTATGAATGGGCATTTGGGTTGACGTTTGGGTTGTATCTTGGCTGTTGTAAATAATGCTGCAATAAACATAGGAGTGCGTGTATCCTTTTGAATTAGTATTTTCATCTTCTTTGAGTAAATCCCCGTTAGTGGAATTACTGAATCATACGGTAATTCTAGTTGTAATTTTTTGAGGAAACTTCATACTGTTTCCCACAGTGGCTACATCAATTTACATTCCCTCCAATAGTGCATAAGGTTCCTTTTTTCCCACATCCGTACCAACACCTTGTAATTTCTTGTGTTTTTAATTTTAGCCATTCTGACAGGTATAAAGTGATATCTCATTGTGGTTTTAATTTGCATTTTCTTGCTGATTAATGATGTTGAGCATTTTTTTCATGGGTCTGTTGGCCATCTGTATGTCTTCTTTAGAAAAAGGTCTGTTTAGATTATCTGTCCATTTTTTAATTGGATTATTGCTTTTTGGTGTTGAGTTGTATAAGTTCTTCATATATTTTGGATATTAACTCCTTATCGGGTATCTCATTTGCAAATATATTCTACTACTCGGTAGGTTGCCATTTTGTTTTGTTGATGGTTTCCTTTACAGTACAAAAGCTTTTTATTTTGGTGTAAACCCAGTGGTTTAATTTTACTTTGTTTTCCTTGTAAAGGAGACGTATTTGGATAAATTGTTTCTATGGCTGATGTCAAAGAAATTACTGTCTATATTTTCTTTTAGAAATTTTATGGTTTCAGATCTCATACTTAAGTGTTTAATCCGTTTTGAGTTTATTTTTTGCATTTTTAAAGAAAGTGGTCCAGTTTCATTCCTTTGCATGTAGCTATGCAGTTTTTCCAATATCACTAAAGAGACTGTCTTTTCTTGTTGTATATTTGTGCCTCCTTTTTCATTGATTAATTGACCATAAAAGCATGGGTTTATTGCTGGATTCGATAATCTGTGCTGTTGATCTATGTACTTATTTCTGTGCCAGTATCATACTGTTGTGATTATTATAGTTTTGTAGTATATCTTGAAATCTGAGATTGTGATACTTCTAGCTTTGTTCTTCCTTTTCAGATTGCTTTACTACTTGGGGTCTTTTGCAGTTCCATACACATTTTAGGATTATTTGTTCTAGTTCTGTGAAAATGCTTTTGGTATTTTGATAGGGGTTGCATTAAAACTGTAGATTGCTTTGGGTAGTATGACATTTTAACAGCATTGATTCTTCCAAGTCATGAACATGGACTATCTTTCCATTTGTTTGTATCCTCTTCAATTTGTTTCATTAAGAAAAAATTATTACTGTGATTTTTTTTTTAAAGATGGGAATGATAAAGAAGAATGATCCAATAGGAAAAGAGAGGTTCAGGGGCACCTGGGTGGCTCAGTGGTTGAACATCTGCCTTTGGCTCTGGTGGTGATCCTGGGATCTAGTCCTGCATCAAGGCTCCCTGCAGGGAGCCTGCTTCTCCCTCTGCCTATGTCTCTGCCTCTTTCTCTCATTTATATATGAGTAAATAAATAAAAATCTTTTTAAAAAGGGGGGAAAAAGGAAGAGTGGTTCAATACAAGGAAGAGAGGACATAATTAATGTAGCAAAGCCCTTCATAGATGTGGAAGGAAATTACAAAGATAGGTAATTTGTCTAAGAAGGATCTCTTTTCTTTAGAGGCTAGAGATGGGGACGACTAACCATTGTTAAGTTTCAGAATGGTACGTTAAGGAAATTTGGAGGATGTCCTGCCTAAAAGGTTTAATTTTATTTCTTAAGAAGGAGCTATGTTACATACTAGAAGTGAGTGAAAAGATGGTAGGTCCAAGACAGGACATTTTGGAAGGGCCACTGTGTGGACTGGGAAGAGGCATGCAGTAGAATTTCTGGGTACTGAGGAGTTGCCTCTTCATGTGCCATCACATCAACTGATACCCCTCTGTGATTTTCCTTAGAAGATTTAGTAACCTGATAAAGGAAACAGGAAGTTAGTTAATTCCCCCAGAGCGGGTGTTTTTTTGACATTTAAGTTCAGTTGTCTTTTTTTTTTTTTAAGATTTTATTTATTTATTCATGAGACACACACAGAAAGAGAGAGAGAGAGAGAGAGAGAGAGAGAGAGAGAGAGAGAGAGAGAGGCAGAGACACAGGCAGAGGGAGAAGCAGGTTCCATGGAAGGAGCCCGTCATGGGACTCAATCCCCGGTCTCCAGGATCATGCCCTGGGCTGAAGGCGGTGCTAAACCGCTGAGCCATGCGGGCTGCCCTAAGCTCAGTTTTAAAAAGGAGTTTGAGATATGAACAAGAAAGTGGTTAAAGTGAAAATTAAGGAAGTTAGGTCAAAGAACTTGGATTTAAAGCCAGCAAAAGAAATGTCAAGGCGTGGTCATCTTCCTGACAATGAAGAGCAGATGTATCAGAAGGAAAGGATTGAGGGAACCAGGAAAATTGGTAGATAAAGCAAAAGTCCTGAGGAGTGGGGAGGAGTGAGAGGAGGGATTAGTGGAGGAAGGGAGTACTGAGACATAACTCTTGCTTCAGAGGTGGCAGTTCTGGAAAAAGCCACTAAGATAGGTCTGTGGTAGTAGATGACAGAGAGGCATGGAGTTAGGGTCATTTGAGAGTCTGGCCGCTTAGCAAAAAGTTGAAAACATGGGCTCTGAAGCCAGACAGTCTGGGTCTGAATCCTATTCCCTCACATATTAGATATGTGATCTTGGGCAAGTTCCGAGAGTTGGTTACACATCACTAAAATCAAGATAGTAATATTGGGATCGAGTGAGGTCATTCCTATAAAGCATTTGCTCAATCCTTTGCACAACTCAAGTGCTCAATAAACCTCAATAGTAATAATAATTATTATTGCTAGCTCCTTCTCATTTAGATCTCAACTCATATGTCACCTCCCAAGAGAGGTCTTCCCCAGCTGCACTGTAGAATACAGGCCCCTTCAGGTAACTGCCCATCGTTTTAGCATCTAGCATTATCTGCTGTTGTAATCTAGCTGGTATCATGAATATCTCCCCAATATATGTTATTTACTTTTTTGGTTCAAAGCTGGGCCCCGTTAACTGTTCTGTAAGCTATGTGTCTAACACATAAGAAGGGTACCCACTCTCCAAGTGTTTGTTGAGAAAAAAAAATATTGGTATCTCTCTGCTGATAGAGAAATCACATGAATACTACTAGTTAATAAAGCTGATTTCTAGTTTTGTGGTAAAACTTTGATAAGGGCAAACTGGTAAACCACTACTGCTATGGTTTTCTGATTTCATTTTAGAATTTTCCATACAAACAAGTGCACAGTTCTCAATTTACTGTTTGGTTTGGGTAGATAAAGGAGTGACTCATCTCTTCCAGGCTGCATTGAATTTAGCGAACTGAGCAAATGCAAACCTGTTGCTCTGAAAATCTTGTTTTCAAGGCATTATTATTATTATTATTATTATTATTATATATATATATATTTTTTTTTTTTTTGCCATAATGTCAAACCATGATCGTGAAAGAAATTGTATTTAACTTTGAGTCACGATGCAGGGATAATGGAACCTGGAACTGGGCTTTCTGCTGTGAGGGTCAGCAGAAGTCGGTAAATGTTTTCAGTTTTCATTTGCAGGAGCCTTACAATATAGATGATATTTATTGTTTGTCCAGCTCCAGTATCATCTCAGTGTCCTGACATGGCCTCTTCATGTTACCTTTGCCCCTCAGGTATTTGGAAAGTAAGGCTTAGGAAGGGCAGCTTATGGAATCCATTATTTCTGAATTTGTTACTCCCTTCCAAAGCTCTACAATGGTGGCTTAATGTTAATGATCCCATCATTCTTTTATTCATATGAAATGTTATCTAAAAGCAGTGTCCTCATTTTTGAAGTTAATTTTTTTTGAAGTTAAAATTAGATCTTTACCAGTTCTTCTCAAATTAAAGTAAGTATGAATCATGATGATTTAGTGCAATTTCCAAATGTATTGTTGACTCATTCTGGGAAACTGGATTTTAAGTGTTCAAGTTTGATTTTCTTAATTATACTATATTCCAAATAAATTTAAGTTTGTTTAAAAATCTATCCTACACTGATTCATATAAGCTTGAGCTAAATTCATCAACTAGTAACATTAGATTTATCTGGAAATAACCTATCTATAAACTCTTTATTGAGAGTCTTTTAAAAAAATTTAAAATCAATTAGCCGATGTATAGTACATCATTAGTTTCAGATGCAGTGTTCAGTAATTCATCAGTTGTGTGTAACACCCAGTGCTCATCACATCACGTGCTGAGTCTTTTAAATGGACTTTCAAATATGATATTATCTATACTAATGTTTCTATCATCAATGTGCATTTTTGTTAGATATTTTTATTTTTTGTCACAAAGTTTTATGTGCTGCCAGAAAGTGAAATATCACGTATCACTATGGTGATAACCTGACACTTTTAAAAGCATTGACCTTTTTTTCAGTTGGACAAAGCACTACATTTTTACTAAAGTAATGCATATTGTTTTTCTCATCAAAAGGCCTTCTATTTTGGTGACAGTCAATTGGAAAATATATATTTTCCCTTTTTGGATAGTGAAGTAGCCTAAAAATGAGAAACTATTCTATAAAAAATTATTACCAGCTAATGTGCTTATGAAATACCCAGAAAGAGACTCATTTTCTAGACTGACCGGTAAGGGAATTTGGTGCAGATGATTCCCATTTTGGTGACATTAGAGATTCTTGTTTGACACTATGTTAGGCATCCAGTTTTGACAAGAACGTGTTCCTAATATTTCTCATGCTTTATTCCCAGAATTTAACACAGCAATTGGAACAGAAGGAAAAGGAACAACTACAGATGTTGGATCAACTTAAAGAGATCCAGAATCACTTTGAGACTTGTGAGGCCAAACATAAGCGTGCTGACCTTCAGATCTCAGAGCTGACTCACCATGCTGAGGATGCAACCAAGCAGGCCGAGCAGTACCTTCTAGAGTTCCAACAGTCAGAGGCTCTGAGACAGGAGGCAGAGAAGAAGAGAGAAGGGCTGAAACTGAAAGCTCAGGAGTCCATCAGGCAGTGGAAGCTTAAGCATAAGAAGTTAGAGCGAGCATTGGAGAAACAATCTGAAACTCTTGATCAACTGACAGACAAGAATAATCAGGTATAAAAAGGCAAATTCCTAAGGAATGATTTTTGCTGTGACCAACCATTCATTCATTCTTCCTTTGAATAAACACTTGAGTGCCAGGCTGTGCATGTAACCTATCATGATGTCCTTGATAGAAGAGTCTTTCTGTCTTGGCTATTTCAAGGTAAAAGTAACTTAGTTTTTTATCTTTTAAGTTTTTTTTTTAATAGTTTAACATTCTGTGAGGTTTTAGAGTTGGCCCTTAAAAGAGATTCACCCTGTCCCTCAGTTTAGCTTTTAGTTCCCTAAGTTGAAATTGTTCTTTAATGTTCAAATGCAAAAAAATTTAAAAAAAAAGGAAAAAAAATCATGAAGCCTTCTATAATATCACCTGACTTTTCCCCCAGTGCATGTATCTTAAAATCTCATGTTTTTAGTATATTTCAACTTAAGTATTGGTTGGAAAAGGAGCATTTAAAAATGTGGTAGTTATTACTGGACCATTTTCTGGCAGCAACTATAATGGGTTTAGTTACATGAGTGATGTTCACAATCTCACTGACTGAGCAGTATTACCAGGTCACAAAGCTCTTTAAGACTCTGCTTTTTATGCCTTTTTGATCGCAACAAGAAGCGTTTTACTGATCCACGTATGCATTTCACATCATCTTTTCTCTTGTATAATCAGTTACTTTAAATGGATTTTATGCTCCTGTGTTGATTCTCAACTGTATCTTTGGGTTGAATTAAACTTAGACGCTTATAAGATGATAAGCAGAAAAGTCAAGGTTGATTTTTATCCATGTTTAGTCTTAGTGTATCATTTCTGCTTTGTCATTTGTCACTTGTCAAGAATTCTGAACATCCAGAAGAATAATTACTTGGATAACTTGACTTTCTTTCCAAAGAAGACAAGATGTAGGTCAATTATATTTATAAAATCAATTGTTAGCACTTAAGAGTGACAGATGCTTATTTCAGATGAGCTGTCATGGAAAAGATGCTTTCCCATTTACATATGAATTTCATGGATATATGGAAGATTGAATAAATGATCACCTTGCACTCATTGTGGAGTGCTTTGCAGTTTAACCCATCTGACACATACTGGGTGACTCGTTGCCCTGAGGTACAGGAGTTGTAAAGCTTTCAGACTTGAATCTGAACTGATCTGATCCCAGCAAATTGCTCTACCTTGATTATTCTGTTGTCAGCCTGGTCTGGCCACTGGTTCAGTGAGCATGAATGTAGGGGAGGTAGCTAGAAAGAAGGGGGGTGAGAGTGATTGAAAATCATCTGTGGATTTTACTTAATTAGAGGAAATTTAGAAGGGACCATGTCATCAGACTGTTTCCTAATCCATGGTGCGGAGTTTTCTAGATGGAGTTTTTTTACAATATTCAAAACTGTTAAACAATTATTTCCCAGAATGCTTCTGATGTAATTATTTTTATCACTTAGCATTGCTAATGATAAGCAAAGAAGTAGTTTTAAAGTGATTGCCACAGTTAGGGTAGTATCACAATTATCACAGCAGGCATTGTAATTTCCACTTTAAAATCCTTAAAAATGAATGCAGCTTGTTGCAGTTAGAGTAGCGGTTAATCAAGGAAGAAGGGTAACAGCTATTTCACTGCACATGCAAGTGTCCAGTAAATCTGTGATGTGGAAATACGTTGTAAATAATTTCGGAAAAAACCATCCATATATTTATGTCTTACTGAATAATATCTCTAAGGAGTATTTAATTCTTAAAAAAATCACAAAGCCTCCCTAAGGCATTAGGAATACAGTCCACTCCTTTTTTGTTTTGTTTTTGTTTTTGTTTCTCATTTTTTTGGACTAATTATTTTCAAACAATGACTCTAGGGTATATTTGGAAGTATATATTAAAAAATATTAAATTACAATTAAAACCCATTATGTCATACAGAGAAAATTGTTTAGTAAGTAGCCTTGTTGAGCCATTTTCTATACTGAAATGATACAGTTTTTGTGTTTTCTAAATACTTCAATGACTACTTCCATTTCTCTTTTTCCAGCATAATTTATTTTCTGCTCTAAGATTTGCCACTTAAAAATGTAGCAGAAGGCTGAAGAGTTTTATTCTCTTAAGAGAACTTTTATTCTCTTAAAAGTTGCTCTGATTTATTTATTTTTCCTATTTTTCTACATTTTTGGAAGTTTGGTGAGATTATTAGATATATATTTTATTACAAAACTACTTTGTTATCAAATGATATAGAATATCAAACAAATAGCATACCATTGCAGAAAAAAACCAGAAATATCAGATTGTATACTTTCCTTGAAAGAAAATGGCGTGGATGTTTACATCAGGGAATCATGATATGATGGTCATTAGGAGTATGTAGATAAAAAAATCTAATCATCAATTATGATATTTTTGTCTTTATTTTTTCTATTTTTGTCTTTGTCTTTTAAAGTACTGTTTGAAGTTATTGATTCTGATACCTGCTTTGCAAATGATAAAGGAAAAAATTTTGAACTTGGATCCTATCACAACGTATGCTTTTCTGAATATCTCCAAATTCGTAGATATATATATATATATATATATATATATTTTTTTTTTTTAAGATTTTATTTATTCATAGAGAGGCAGAGACACAGGCAGAGGGAGAAGCAGGCTCCCTGCAGGGAGCCCGATGTGGGACTCGATCCCAGGACCCCAGCATCACACCCTAAGCCAAGGGCTCAACCATCGAGCCCCCCAGGTGACCCTTCTTAGCAGATTTCAACTGTACAGTATCGTTGACTCCAGTCGGGTCGCTGCATGTTGTGTCTCCAGAACTCACTCACCCCGCGCTAAACCGCTGAGCCACCCAGGGCTGCCCAAGATATATATTTTAATATGGATAATGGGAAGGCTGCTTAGGTTGCTTGTTTTTCTTGCTGAGTTAGCAGAATAATTGGTTTGCCTCTGTATTGAGCTTTCACTTGATAACATTTGACTTCAAGAATCTTAAATTGCCATATTTTCCTTTTTTATATTGCCTTCATGCTGAGGAAGAGAAGAGTATATGTAATATATACTGTCTTTTAAAAGCTGAATTTTTTTTGATTTAAAGATTGTAAAGTAAGAAGGATCAGTGCTGAAGTACATTTTAAATGTATATACGGTTCTATGATATGCAATTTTAGAAAGGCTAAAGTACTGATATATTAGAATAATCCAGCATTTTGTTTGCATGTACCCTCGCATGCAGAAAAATACTCGATTTTTTTCTTTTTAAAATTTCTGTCTACCTCTTAGTTAATTTAAAACAAAACAAAAACCTAAGTATACTTTGTGGTCAGGCTTTTGGAGAGTTGGTTCCTGTTCTTATGGTTTTAGACAGTATTGTTCTTCTGGCTTCACACAGCCATTTTCAATGCCCCCTTCATAATCTTCTCTCAGCTTTTCTTCTTTGGAAACTAAGTTTGCTAGGTTTGCTTGGTTAGAATGTTCTCTTCTCATTGTTCCTGACTGCTACATACTTTTGCATTATGCCTCCACATTTCTCAAGGATTATTGTATCTGGCTTCCCCTCAACCTATTTCATTACCTATAATTCTTGTCATCATCTTTGGTGATTACATATAGTTCAAGTCAGCATTGAACTCCACATCCTTAAACTTCACTAATTTCCCATTTTACTGTGACCTTCAAGTCACTCAGCAGCTAATTTCTGTGGCTAAAATTTGTCCTCATCTATTATTTCTCTATGTTCAAATCTTTAGTTCCAAAATTTCATTCTCTGAACTTACACATTTCTTTTATTTCCTTTTCCTTTTTTAACCATTACCATCTGATTTTGATCTTTCCACATTCCTCTAGTTGACCAGCCATTTCCTGGAATCCGTTTTTTCCTGTCAGCTTGGACTTTGTGAAAAGCTACTCTGATAACATGCTCACCAGCATCTTTGATTTTTTTTCTTCCATCTCACACATCTTACTGATTTTCAATCTGGAATCAACCAAACTCTTATTTTTCCCATTTCTGCTCCTGAATAGTACCAGCAAAACTTATATAGAAACATCATTTGGCTTCTATAGTGGTCTTGATTTTCCCCATCTACCCCTGGCCCCAACCCATTCCATCCTGTTCAAAAATTAATATAGGCCAGTTATCAAGCACCTCACTCTGTTCTGATTAATGAAGAATGAGTTATGAAGTCTGTTGGGAGAGCTTTTGATAAACATTTACTTATTCCTGAAGAAGATACACAAGAGACTATTTTTTTTACTTCTCTGGTTTGGTTGTACTCGGCTGTGATGTTTGCAGTGGCTGAAGTTGGCAGTCTTGTGATGGTCTTGAGAATCAAGTCTCACACACAAGAGGGTACTGCCAAGAGAAATGCGGAGAGGTGGACCTAGAGCTTTGATACCATGTCTGGAACGGTTCTTCCTGGAGTGAGATTAAGTTACCTTGTAGTTTAAATTACTTTGAATTGGAGTTTTCTTTTACTCTCATCAGAAGATATTCAAGCCATTATGAAACATCAGTTCTAGGAGTAAGGAGCTTAAGTAAGAGCCTAAAATGGAGGATTGACTAAGCGGAGAAATGAAGTGGGGATAGGAGGAGGGTCATATCTTTCTCAGGAAAAGCTGACAAACTATGCTATTGATAGTAGTTGAACCATCAGAAATCCTACCTTGGGGCAGTGATGCTTATTAAGTGACTGATATGAAAACTTTATGATGTTGGCATGTGTTATGAACTTACTACAGCTTTCAGAAAAGTTCCCCGAGAGAAAAAGTATAAATAATAAAAGCAGAGAGCAAGATTTGGAGGGTGGGGGGAGACTGAAAATCTGCAATCTACAATCCAAATATATAGAGTCTGGTAATTTGGAGTTTCTTTAGCATTGGAATAGTCAAATGATGTATCCCTGCTGAAGTTAGTCCAAGCAAGAGAGGGAATTAGGAAACTTAGCAGAAATAAAAATGAGATGAAAAACAAGCCTGATTTCTCAGACCCCTTCAAGTGCTTCTGCTTAAGTATTCCTGGCCAGATAAAGGGGATCTAAGTTTGAGTTCCCTCAAGATAAAGCCTATACAACTGAGGGTCCCTGGGAGTGTCCAGGTTGTTGAAGTGGCAGTTAAGACACTGTCATTTTCAGACTCAGAGACAATGTCTAGACAAAATCTTGGGCTGTGGCTACTAGCCAAGCAATTAACAGAAAGCAAATAGAACTAGTTTTTAGTATCTGTATTGCCAAAGAAATTACAAACTTGACTAATGTAGTCTGTGGCTGTCCACTCTAAAGCTGCCACCTTTGTCGTAAATTGATGTGATTCTTGGAATACTGAAACAGAGGGCAAACCTAGAGAATCGTAGAGTAGCAGTGCCTGAATTTTGACAGACTCTTCTTGAAGAGCTCCATCTTTGGTGTTCCTGTTATGTGAGAAAAATAAATATCTTTGCTGTTTAAACCAACTTTAGGAGCATATTATTTTGCAACCAAAGATGTTTTATTTGCTAGAGCATCTTGAATTATCTACAGGGGGGATCCCTGGGTGGCGCAGCGGTTTAGCGCCTGCCTTTGGCCCAGGGTGCGATCCTGGAGACCCAGGATCGAATCCGACGTCGGGCTCCCGGTGCATGGAGCCTGCTTCTCCCTCTGCCTATGTCTCTGCCTCTCTCTCTCTGTGTGTGTGTGACTATCATAAATAAATAAAAATTAAAAAAAAAAAAGAATTATCTACAGGGCTGCATGGAAGTCTCTTAACTGCTGGCCAGGGGCCTATATTATCTGTTTCAAACATTAATCATTGTCTTGAAGCCACCTCTCCTCATTGTCAGGCCCCTCTTGCATTATCCATACAGCCAAGACTTGATTCTGTCAGTTTCTGTCTTCTCTGGTATGGTAAGTAGAGTGACCTCCCAGAGATGACTCATCCTAATTCCTGGAGCCTATGAACATGATGATATATCACTCATGGTTATGTTATATGGCAGAGTTGACCTTAAGATAAGGAGATTGTCTGATGGGCCTAATCTAATCAGAGGGGTCATTAAAAACAGAAAATTTTCTGGCTATTTAGGGAAGGGGAAGTTGGAGGATTCAAAACACAAGATTCATTGTGGTGTTACTGGCTTCAGAGTCTGAGGAGTCCATGAGCCAAGGAGTGTGGGTGGCTCAGAAGCTCAGAGCAACCCCTCACCCAGGGCTAGTAAGGAAATAGGGACCAGAGTGTTAAGGGCATGGAACTAAATTTTGCCAACAACATGGATGAACTTGGAAGTGGATTCTCCCCCAGTGCCTCCAAGAATCCAGGCCAGCTGATATCTTGATTTTAGCCTTAGGAAGCCCTGGAAACACCTTAGGAAAGCCTGAGAAAGCACAATACCTTTCCTGGACTTGGGGTCTGTGGAAACAGGAGATAATAAATGGTATTGTTTTAAGCCATTAAGTTTGTTGGAATTGGGTACACTGCAATAGGAAAAACAAAAAACCATCTACCCTTAGAATTCCCTGTATTTCTAGCCATTTTTTCCTGCCTTTCAAAGTAAAGTCCTCTATGGTCCTGAGTATTTTTAGTCAAGGTACATTGCTTTATCAGTTATACCTGTTCTTCACAGATCTGATTACTGTCTTGCATGATACCTCCCTGGGATCCTGGCTTCTCCTTGAACTTGAATCCTTTGCCCATTTTTTTTTTTCTTTTTCCCACTAGTCTTCATCACAACCCTATAATATAGTTGCTATTATTACCTTTATAAAGATAAATAAATTCCTTGAGGCCCTGGGATGACTTATGACTGGACTGAGAATCACATTCAGTTTTCTCTGGTCAGAGCTCAATTACTTTACCACCTCCTTTTATTATTTCTCATGCTAGCTTCATGCTGTTTTTCCATGCTGAAACTGACAGGGCTTTGAGGAATCTGTTTCTTTGGAGTGATTGACTCATTGTAGTTTATCTTGAATTGTTTCATACTAAAGTATAAAATACAAACTTTAAAACTGCCTTGTAAGTATTTGCATTTTTATTCATTATTTCTCATTCTGAAGTGAGAATCTTACTTTTCTTTTTTCTGGGTTTAAACCATGGCAGGCATCTATAAGCAGAGACGGAGACTGTTCTTGGTGCCAGTGTTAGGGAGAGGAGGCATAATTCTAGCTTCCTTAGCTGCTGGCTTTTTTATTACATTGGTAGGTGATGAGGATGAGAGAGATATCTTGGCCCCATTCATCCTGCAGTGTCAACCCTCACTCTACATAGAGGCTGGCAGAGGGGGATGGACATCTGGTCCCTTGACTTTGCTCTTTGCATCCCTCCCCAACCTCTCCTAATCTTAGTATTATTTCTATCTTTTTGGGGCTTCGAGACTCCCAGTTACATACTGGTGTATTTCCTGCCCCTACTGACTTTATTTATTAATAAGGATTGATTGTATCATAATCTTTCTTAGATTATATATGCATGCTTCCCTATATTATCTTCCTTATCTATTTTGAGGTTTCTCCTTTTTAAAAGTGTGCAATTGAAATGTAAAGAACTGTTACTTTAAGTAACTTTGTATTATTGCAACCTCTGGTAAATTATAGTAGTCTTTTTCTTTCCTCATTCTTTTGCTAAATTTTATCCAACATTTAAATAATTATTTATTTATTTATTTATTTTTTTAACAAGTTTTTTTTTTTAATTTTTATTTACTTAGGATAGTCACAGAGAGAGAGAGAGAGAGGCAGAGACACAGGCAGAGGGAGAAGCAGGCTCCATGCACCGGGAGCCTGATGTGGGATTCGATCCCGGGTCTCCAGGATCGTGCCCTGGGCCAAAGGCAGGCGCCAAACCGCTGCGCCACCCAGGGATCCCTAAATAATTATTTATAATCCAGGATTGATAGATGTTGGTGATGTTTCTATGACGAATTTTACAGTGATTTTTTTTTAACCTGATAGATTCTAAAAGAAAAGGACGAATTGAAAAGCCAGCTTTATACAGCATTACAACAGATAGATAATCTTCGAAAGGAATTGAACGATGTCTTAACCAAGCGTGCCCTTCAAGAGGAGGAGCTTCACTGTAAGGAGCAGAAACTAAGTGACGTTGAGTCTCGTCAAACTGTCCTTGAACTAGAAGTCAAGGATTCCCTGGACACTATCCATAGGCTAGAAAGTGAATTGAAGCAGCAGAGAAAGATTCAAAGCCAGATGAAAGTGGAGAAAGCTCACCTAGAAGAAGAAATCACTGAGCTAAAGAAAAGCCAGGCCAGGGACAAAGCTCAACTTCTTGAGATGCAAGAGGCTGTCAAGAACCTGAGTGCCATCCGGGCGGATCTCGCTAATAAATTGGCTGAGGAACAGAGAGCCAGGAAGGAGGTGCTTAAGAACCTTGCTGACCTCAAGACACAGGCGAAATCCAGAGAGGAAGAAACAGCTACGATCATTACGCAGTTAAAGCTGGAACGAGACGTTCACCAGAGGGAGCTGGAAGATCTCACATCATCACTGCAGAGTGTGAAAACTAAACATGAACAGAACATCCAGGAGCTGATGAAGCACTTCAAGAAAGAAAAGAGTGAGGCTGAGAATCATATTAGGACGCTGAAGGTACCTGCGCTGAATTATCCTGATGATACTGAAGGATTTTTTCCTGGTGGCTCATGAAGTTAATAAAGCATAAACTTGTAGGGATCATTCTGTATTCCTAAGCACTGAAGGGAAGATAAAACTAACACTAAAGAGGCTTATTCATGCCTGTTCATCCAGGTTGAAATGAGTTATAGCAGCCACCTGGGAGCGCCTATTTCAGAGCACTGAAGCCCTTTAAAAAGAACGTTTAGCTATTTTGGGAGTTCAGGAAAGGCAGAGGTGGCAGTAAGTCATGGACCCGAAACGTGCCCTCATTCACGTTGTGACCTCCTAAAATATAAAAGGCAAAGACTTGTCAAGGCCATAGGAGTTATAACTACAGTCCTTATTAGTATGGTAACTAAAGTGGATCAGCTTATGAGCTGTGTAAACCCAAGGCTTTTGAGATTTACTCCTCCTTTTCCAAATCAAAGTTGGCCTGGGTAAATGCATAATTGAGAATCTTGCATTTGGAGAAATGTTTCTAGTTTCTAATGGTATTAGCATTATCCCCATGCAGGGGAATTATTTTATACATGATTGTCAGGAGTGTAATAAATCTGTCCCTCTTTCCTGCTTTTGCTTTTTTCCATAGTACTTATCATCATATGACATAGATTCCATTTTATTTATTTATTTATTTATTTATTTATTTATTTATTTATTTTTAAATTTTTTTATTTATTTATGATAGTCACAGAGAGAGAGAGAGAGAGAGAGGCAGAGACACAGGCAGAGGGAGAAGCAGGCTCCATGCACCGGGAGCCCGACGTGGGACTCGATCCCGGGTCTCCAGGATCGTGCCCTGGGCCAAAGGCAGGCGCTAAACCGCTGCGCCACCCAGGGATCCCCATATTATTTATTTTTAAGTCTCCCTGTACTAGAATGAAAACTCCATGAGGACTGGGTTTTGAGTCTCTTTTGTTTACAGCTATATCTCCAATGCCTAGAACAGTCTCTGGAACATTGTAGATATCTGTTGCATAGGTAAATAGGTAAGTCTTTAAGGTTAATTATAACTTAACTTAGGTTAATTTTCAAAATTCCTTGAAATACAACTGCCATAAAAATGGCAAGTGGTAAAATGTGTAAAAATATGTCTTAATATTGATGATGAAATATGGCATAACAATATGTCAGAATTGATGAGGACATAAAAATAGAATCAGAGATAGGAGAGGACTTAATCTTAAAGAAAATAAAATATATGTCATATGTTGATTGATTGGCTGTGACAATAATACTAGCAAACATTTTTTCCCAGCACTTAGCTCATGCCAGTCATTACTGTAAGAACTTTATATGCATTAACCATTTAATCCTCACATCATCCTTGCAGATCATATGGTATCTTTTCATTAACGAGGAAACAGACGTGGAAAGTTAACTGCCCGAGGTCTTACATCTGAAAAGTAGTGGAGATGAGGATTTGAACCTAGGTAGTCCAGAGCCTGTATTCTTAACTACACTGCTTATAGGTGAAAAGGTTTAGTGTTGAGGATGACTGGGTATAGACTTGGGTGACTAAGGTGGTTAATGAGGCTATTTGTCAAGGTAGATAATGCAGTCAGAAGAGCAGATTCGGAGAGAAGGGTGGAAAAATCCAGTTTTTTTAGCATGTTGAGGTGGAAAGGAACTGAAGCCTGACCATGAAAGTCTAAGCAGAATAGTTTTTAGTAATAATGGATTACACATTGAGGAAGAAAGTAAGATTAAAGTTGAATATTTGGAATCCAGTAACCCATTGGTAGTAGTTGAAATCCTGAGATTTTAATGAGACCATATAGGGAGAAAGTAGAGGATGAAACTCTAGAACCCCAGGGTTTAAGAAAGTACTGAGAAAGAGGTTGTAGCAAAGAAGAATAAAGGACTATATGAGAGACAGGAGGGAACCAGAAAAGAATGGTATCTTGGAAACCTGGGCAGGGCATTTCAAGAAAGGTACAGTCAAGGTGTCAAATGTGACAGGATAAAAGAAGAACTGAAAACATGTTCATTCCATTTGTCATAGGTGGATTAGAGATGATCCATGCGGAAGTGTGAGAGTGTTAGATCAAAATAGAGTGGATGGTATTCAATAGGACACAGGGTAGTTTTCCCCATTCTTTCTTTAGGAAGTCTTTCTATGCATATGTAATGAGATGACAATAAAGCTTTGAGAAAGTACCTGTATGAAAATAATATATAACTTAGAAGGACTCTGTCAATATTCTCAAATTTTTAGGCATTTTTAATTAGGAAGACAGAGAGAGAGGAGGAGTGTTATAGCCACCCTTTACTATGGTATAAAAGCTGCATAAGAGCTAAAAAGGAAACCAGAGATTGTGAGCACTTTCATTGTAAACTGAATGAGTTGCCCATAAGGAACAACTCCTGCCTCATGCTATTTCATTAACATAATTCTAAACTTTTTACTTACTTATATTAATTAAAAGGAGTTGATAATAATGATTATCACAGATGACTTAGTGTACTGAATTATGTACAATAGGACTTTGGACAAGTGGCTCTATACATGTTCTATTTTTTTGTCTTTTGGCTTCATCTTTATTACTTTTCCTGGGTCTTACTTTCTTCCTCAATGTGTAATCCATTATTACTAATGCTAATGCATTACCCATATTTTTTCTTTGCATGAATTACATGTTTTCCCCTTCTAGAAGTACTCTTCTTATGCCTCTTTTTAAATTTAAATGTAAAATATTTTAATGAAGTACTTTACTATTAATATTTGAAGGACATTGGGTTATCACCCCATTATGATTTCAACAGAAATCATTTGGTAGAGCTCCCCCACTTTTTTTTTTTTTTTTTGAATCAAAAGACCAAGGATTTGAGCTCTATACTTTCGCTTCTTGCTGGCTGTATGATAATGGTCAAGTTATTTAACCTTTTTGTACCTCATCGATAAAATGGGACTAGTAATATCTTTATCACAGGGCTTTTGTGAGTAAAACATCACTTTGTAAACTTTAGAATGAAATGTAAACGTAATAGTAAAACCACAAAAAGTAAACTAGGTTTACTTTTAACCTAGGTTAAACTAGGTTTAAACTAGGTTCCCTGGGGTTAGAGGAGTAAACCCTGATTTGTAGCATTTGTCTATTTTAGTGTTATGTGAATACCTCATTTGATTTCAGGCTGTCAAAGAAGACATCGCTGGAGAGGGACAGTGTTGGGAAGAGATGGGCACAGCTGGTTCTTTAAGGCTCCCTGAACCAGCTTCAGTTTGCCACTGGCCTTAGGGGAAACTTCTATATCCAAGAGTTTCATTAGCCATAAGGAAAAGGCAAAGCATTCTGTTGGAACTTAAAATCATAATTGAGCAATTTTCCTGATGAGAGACTTTATTTTATAATTTTTGTTTTTGGGTTGTGAAACAGGATTCCTCATTAAAAATCAATTCTTTTGTTAATTTAAAATTGCATCCAGTCTTAGGTGAATTTTGTGAGGTGAATGTAATACAGATTTTGTCTAAAGCTGACAAAACTTCCTCTCAGGAAATTGATTCCAGTTATTGAATTCCTACATACCTGATTACACATATACAATAAACTTGTAAAAAGAAAAAAAACATATTTTGGCAATTAAAACATGTATTTTAAACAGATCATAGGTAGTTGCTTATAAGCTATTAGTAACTTGTAGGTGTGACTAGTGAACATTGCCAAATTGTACCCAGCTGGTTTTTAAAAATGATAAATGTACTTTGCTAAAGGCAGCATGGCAGACTAATTGAAAGCATGGACATTAGAGGGAATTTCTGGGTTCAAATTCTGGCTCTGCAGTTACTCGTTGCATATCCTGGGCCAAGTTATTAGTGTCTCTGGGCTTCATCTTCAGAAAAGGGGGCAGTAGTAATAGTACCTCCCTTGGATGGGTTGTTGTGAGGACACAATGAAGAAAAACTATGCAAGAAGTTTGAGAGCAGTGCCTGACATATAGTAAGTGTTTACATAGTTGTTATTTAAAAAGTTTTAAAATTCACATACCTGGCAAATCTTTATTGAATCCCATATACAGAATAGATTATTCCTAATTTTTTCTCAAAGTTGATTCTGGTTATATTCCAAAAAGAAATTTAAAAACCCGGTACTGAAATAATCACCAGTACGCTCCTTTTCGTGTTAAGTTACTTGTAGCTTCTTGGCTGCTGCAATTCATAATCCTTTCAGCCTCACAGGGTGGGATCAGTAATTTTGTTGTACTGGAAGTACCCAATTCTTTCACAAGACCCAGGAGATGGGCTGATGAACAGGAATGTTGTAAAGCTCCTTGTATAGAGGAGGAAACTGATCAGTCAGTACTGTGTCACAGTATTTCCCTTTTGGAAGACTTCTCTCACAACCCCTTTCCCTCTCAGCAGAGTTGAGGTGCCCGCTTTAGGTTGGCGTAGTATCTGCCTCTGCCTTTGTTAAGCCCTTCTCATTCATTGCTGTAGAATTAACTGATAGTTGTATCTGGCACATTTACTCTTCATATTTGCTATCTTAGCACCTAGTACGGTACCTTTCACTGAGTAAATGTTCGGTGAGCACTAAGGAGTAATTGAGTAAATGCAGGCAGCGTTTCCTTTGTGTGTATGTATGTACAGATGCTTAGAGCAAAATCTTGAAGTTTTTTCCCACGGATAAAATGTGTAATTTGTTTGGTGTACAGTTTGGCTATGGCCAGTGGACTTTTTCTTTTCTCCTCTTTTTCTCAGGCAGAAAGCATAGAAGATAAGAATACAGCTAAAGTCCATCGTTGTCAGCTAGAGAAGGTGAAATCACAATGTGACAGGCTGACAGAGGAATTAACCCAGAATGAAAATGAGAACCGAAAACTGAAGCTAAAATATCAGGCTTTGAAGGACCAGCTAGAAGAAAAGGTAAAAATATGAATGAATTTTAATATTAAAAATGACTTATTTAAATTTTTCTGGTATTCTAGAATATATTTTATTCATTTTTTTTGAGTGATAGTGTGCACCCACAAATGGGGGTAGTGAGGGGCAGAGGGAGAGGAAGAGACCCTCAAGCAGGCTCCATGCTCATCATAGAGCCCATTATAGGGCTCCGTCCCACAGCCCTGAGATCATGACTTGAACTGAAATCAAGAGTTGGATGCATAACTGACTGAGCCACCGAGGTGCCTGTATTATATGTATTAATAAATGCTAATTGTAGTCTTTCATAGGAAAGTTTTATTGGCAACACAAAAAAAATGATAGTTTATTAGAATATTGGATTTTTGTTCTTTCAACCATCTATTAATCTTCTACTACATTTGATTTTTAAATTTCTTCTGGGTCTTGAAATAGGAGTTTAGAGGAAAAGTAACAAAGGAATTCCAGTTTATTGAGAACCTACTATATGTCAGCCATTTATGCCAACTGATTTATATATGTGTGCTTATTCAGTTCTCACAACTCTTTGGGTTAGGTTTTATTGATCCCTTTCAACCAATGAGGAAACTGAGACTCAAAACACATAATAGTTAAGTACTCACTATGTGCTAGACGCTCTCAATGCTCATAGTAATTTTATGAAATTGATACTGACGCTCATTTTTGCAGTTGCAGAGACTGAAGCTTAAGAAGGTTGGTAACCTTGGGACATACCTAGCAGGCTTACTGCTTTCCTATTTTGAGTATCTGCTATATATCAGGCATTGGGTAGAATATAGGGACTTTGAGTCACCACTTTCGTGGCAAAAGTCAAGTAGGAATAGAAGACAGAGTACTTTTCTTCCACTAATTTCCAAAAGGGATCTGCAATTGTATGATAGAAGTCAAATGTAAAAAGACCGCTGAAGTACTGATAGTAGGATAAGGTGGCATAGACTAGGTCAAATGAATCCTGTACTTGGTAAGGGTACTAAAACATCTATGAGGAAGCTGCCACCACTGGGTGGGGTATCATAAAATGCTTCATAAATCTCTAGGAAGAAACTTTCTTAACACTTAAGTGATCTTTTCCTCTTTATGTTTTTTGCAAAATTCACTATATATATATATATATATGTAAATATATATAGTGAATATATATATAGTGAATATATATAGTGAATACACACACACACACATACACACACACCTTTCTAGTAATTGGTAAAATCAAGGAAATAAGATATAAGTTAGTTTTGTGTTTATGATTAAATGTGCTAAATTAAGTTGCTAAATTTTAGGCCTACAATCTTGACAACCGCTGCAATTTAGTTCTTATGTCATGCTTTCTTTTGAGTATGACCAGTTCACACATATTTACTCTATCTGTTGCCAGGGTGTAGTTGCTGTGGAGATAATGCTAATTTTTCCAACTTTTCCATAATTAAAATTCTAGCCAGAAGATTGTGCTAACAGGTTTTATGTTCATGTATTTTCATTTATGAAATATTGAAAATTTCTTATGTTGGAATATAAGTTTACCTTGTTCTGCTTAAAACATTTCTTCACTCATTCTATTTGTGATGTTCAAGATAAATATGTGTTATCACATATTCACATAGATGGGACATTCACCTTAGGACAAAGTTTCAAGAGTTAATGATAGTATTCCATTGCTATGTATTAAGCATCCAGTATGTGGCAGGCCTTAATGCTGGGTGCTGAGGGTTGGATAGAGGTGAGACAAAGGTCTGCAACTGAATGTTCCTAGCCAGATCATGAAAAACAAAATCACTTTCAGTTGTTAAAACTGTATAGTCGAATCTTGACAGTGTGTGCTAATACAGAGAAAAGATGTCTCTGGAGTCTAAACTGGTGTATAATCTCAAAGATGCAATTATCTTAAACACACATATGTAAATATGTATGGCTTATATGTTTGCCTTTAAGATCTGTTTTTTTGTGTACATGATTATTACTTACTTTCAATTCACTTAGCTGTTTATGTTGACCTGTGCCTTAGTATACGGTTACATAGGAATCAAAATTTTTGGGTCCAGCCATCTATAAACAGGGCTCTTCTCTTTGGGAGATGGTATAGCATTAGTGACTGTGGGCAGAACGTTGAATGTAAATCATTTTCTAGCGACTGTATGGCTTTAAGCAAGTTGCTTAAAACTCAAAGCCTCACTTTTCTCATCTTTAAAAAAGTATGATGATACCTCTTTTATAGAATTAAATGTGAAAAAATGAATAAGCCTGTCAGAGTAACCCATATCTAATAATCTATCAGTTAGTAAATGGCATTATTTTGTGATTGTCATACTTTCAAATAAATGCTGATTAGTGGTTCAACCACTAAGCAATCACCCAATCAGAAAATATTGACTGACTGTGGTCTTCCAGTAAAGTTAGGTAGTGCAGGACCAGGGAACTGGGAGTCAGAATTATTGCAGAACTCTGCAGATTGGAAGTTTAGAACCAGACTGTGTTGAGTCACTTGAGACAGATGGCCCACAAAGGAGGCTCCCTTGTGAAAAGAGTTGGCATTTTTATTAGCAAGTGATATTGAAGGCGTGTGTGTTAAGTAAACTAAGTAAGTGGGGAGTTTTATAATTATGTCTTCTATTTGAGTACAGGAACCAAATCCTGATAGTGTTTCCATCTCCAAGATCAGGCACAGAACCAGATACACAGTAGGTAATTTTTTTTTTTTTAGAGTAGATAATTTGTAAGCAAATTTTGGATAAAGAGGTATCTGTGGATACACATATACATGCTTACACATATGTAGTATGTAGATAAAAATATGTATAACCTATGCATATATGTACATTTATTCTGTGTGTGTGGGAGGGAAGACTGTGGAAAATAAGAAAACAAGACAAAAATACATTTTCAGTGAAAAAAAAAAATAAAGCTCCATGACTTGTAGTCCAGAGATTACTATATAAGTGCAATGAACTTGGTAAATGAGGCCTTATGGATTGAAGGGGTTTCAAATATGATTCTGCTGCAATCAAAAGGGTAGTCTTTCTTGTTAACATACCATTATTCTTGTATGCCCCTCTTATGCCACTAATACACACTTCGCCTCTTTTCTAAATGTCTTGCTACTACTGTTTTGACTGCATACTTTAGGTCTTTGTTTCTTGTCATATTATTACTTGGTGAGCTAAAAATATGAAAATTGCATCAAAGTTCATATAAAATCATTAACAGCAGCAGCCTGAATCAGCAGTAGAAGATAGCTGTTAGTATATATGTACAGAATAACTAACTTAAGCACATTTTCCTTGTGTAGTCAGCGGTGATATGTGGTAATAAAATACATTTTTTCCAACATCTGATTTTGCTTTAACATCAAATGTTATTTTTCAATTTTACATGACAAAGAGAACAAGTATTGTGCAACCCACAGAATTTTTACATATGCGTTGAAAACTTTATTATGAACTTCTTACTGGGGGAAAAAAGCTCTCATGAAGTGTTAGAACTCTTCTCCTCTCTGTATGTAATGTCATTGAAATTTAATATTCCTTTTGCTTAGAATTTTAAAGGAAAATATTTGATTCTTTTGTTCTAAAAGGATCTTATTAACATTAATTTTTTTATTCTTCTGGCATTTACCTGGAAACTCAATGCTGTTTGTTTTATCAGAAATATATTTTTAGCGGTCACCTGGGTAGGTCAGTAGTTGAGCGTCTGCCTTTGGCTCAAGTCGTGATCCCAGGGTCTTGGGATCGAGTCCCACATTAGGCTCCCTACAGGGAGCCTGCTTCTCGCTCTGCCTATGTCTCTGCCTCTCTCTCTGTGTCTCTCATGAATACATAAATAAAATCTGGGAAAAAAAAAAGGAAATTATTTTTGTTGGCTTCACTGGAATCTGAATCATCGAAAGAGTTAGTGTGTTAATTAAACCATTTTTTCTCAGCAAGTCAACATCAGAGATTTCATAGTGAAGATTTTAAATGCTTTATTTAAACAGACCTGTCTCTGATCCAACTTTAAAAAGTTATATTAAAGTAGGTATGCGTTTACTAATGATACTGTCCATCTTTGTGGAGCTGTCCAAGTAATTTTGTAGTATAAGTATTAAACATTGTTTTTAATTTTGAACATGTTTACTTAATATTTTAGACATAAATATGATGTCTAAAATTAAGAGAATATGATTTTGTAGATTACTTTGTTTATACTAGGTTTATTCTCTTGGACCTTATGTTTTAGAAGTATGACTGTTTTGTGAAAAAATATGTGTAATATTTTGTGCAGGTATCTTTATAGGCAATGAGAAAAATTGTGTAAAAAATGATAGTAATGTTCTGAGATTGTTTTCCTTTGTTTAATGTAGACATAATAAAGACATTAATTTTCAGATATTGAAAAAGAATAATTTTATTGATTACATTCATTTTTATAAATTTTGAAATTATGTTAAGATAATTTTGTTCTTTAAAAGGGAGAATTAAGAATTATAAAATAGATAAATCAGATTTTCATTTGGAAAATGCAGGATACTTTATAGGGAAGATTTAAAAACCTATCTGTGATCCTACCACCTAACTTTCTTGCATTCAAGTTTTGATGAATTTCTTTTCAGGTTTCTTTTCTATACACACATACACCGATCCCATTTGGGATTATTTGCCATGCACAGCTTTGTGTTCTAAATTTGCCTGTGTCCTTGAACATTTTTCAAAATCAAGTTTATTTGATACCTAATATTCTATCTGGTGTGGTGGATATGGCATTCTCTTGTTGATTACATTACTGTGTCTTTTCTATCTTAAAATTATAGATCAAGTAATTTCTCTCCTACATGACCCAGTACTTTCCATACCTGGAGATTTCATTTGTATTTGTTACTGATTTAATTCTAAGCAGAATTCTGCAAATAGGCTTCTTGCTACCCTAACCTAGAGAAAGCCAGAGGTATCCACTCTCCTCATTTTGCTTTTCTCCTTTAATCTACCCATAATCACAACCATATGTAGAACTTC